GGGATCGAGCCCCACATCGGGCTCCCTGCTCGGCGGGAAGCCTGCTTCTGCCTCTCCCACTCCCCCTGCTTGTGTTCCCTCTCTCTCTGTCTCTCTTCTCTCTGTCAAATAAATAAATAAAATCTTTAAAAAAAAGAAAAAAAGAAAAAAGAAAAATGTAAAAAAGAAAACTCAAACTTTGGAAGTGCTTTATGATATTACACTATAAATATATTAAAGGCAAATGGCAGAGAAAAACATAAACAATTATGAAACGCAAAAGGTCAATATTCTTAAAATAGTATGAGCTCTTAGGTATAAATAAAATTTAAAAAAATGTTTTTCTATTTTCTAATTTTGTTTGCTTTTTCACTTTATTCAAGTCTCTGTTCATATTTCCTGTCCTTGGAAAAGCCTTCTTGATCATCAGTTTAAAATAGTCCCATTCCCATCTCTTTACCCTTATTTTTCTACTCTATTTTTCTGCATAGCATTTATCACTAGCTGCTTGTTCACTATGGTTTTATTATCTCATCCTCTATCACTAATGTAAGCTGTGAGAGAAAAAGAGACTTTATTTTTATTCACTGCTGTATCCTCAGTGCATAGGATAGTATCTATAGTATCTGCTCAATAAATATTTGTAAAATGAGTAAAATGAATGGATAAAGTTTTGTCTAAACACAAAATAATAAAAATAGTATTTATGGAGTGCCAAGCATTGTCCTAAATGCTTTACTTGTATTAACTCATATAATCCCATATAATCCTGAGTTAGGTACTGTCATGAAACCCATTTTACAGATGAGCAAACCAGAGACAAAGAGAAATTATGAAGCTTGCCTAAGGTCACGCAGCTATTGAGTATACTGAAAAGGATTAACAATCTGGCCAAATACTTTCTGCACCAATCAAACTCATCTATTCCTTTTCATACTTAAAAACTCTTGAATATGAATGAGGCCAATTAAATAAAACCACTATCATGATTACCACCACTACTGACTAAGTTTTTACATATATACTAAAGACTGTACTCAGCATTTTACATATAATATCAAACTTAATCCTTACAACAGTCTTTTGAAATAGGTATTATCATCTTTCTTTTACAAAAGGAGATAACTGGGGCTGAGGGAGGTTAAATCAGTTGCTTAAAGTCTAGCTTGACTTGGGGTTCAATTTTAAGTTTTAATCTAAAGCCTTCATTTCTAACTACTAAATTTAAAGGCTTGCAATAAAACTTTATGCTTCAAAAAGATAAAGAAGTACATTCCCTTAAAAAAAAAAAAAAGCAAGCATTACATACTTCCATTTCAGACATATAATCTTCTGGTTTGTCCATAAATACTGCAGAGACTGGAACGGATGTGTTTTTGGACATCATGAATTTTAATGGAACTTCATGGAAGATTTGATTTCTCTCTCTCATTGTCATTTTCTTTTGGGGAAGTGGTGAATTAATATAAATTACTTTAACTGGTTTTGAACCTTAAAACAAAAACAGAAGAAAGAGGGTGATTAGTTTCTAGAAATTCTATTTCAAAACAAACAAACAAACAGGATGTAGGACAGAAAGATCACCAAACAAAGAAATATAGCATAGGAAAGTATAGCACATCTCATGTATTTGCCACCCTTGAATTTGTGATCTTCAATGTCCCTTACAGATATAAGGGCAAGAGAATTTGACTGGCAAGAAAAATATGTTTTCTTTCTAATAAATTTAAAAAAAGGTTTTCTGCTTTTTATTTCATATAATTTTTTTTTTTAAAGATTTTATTTATTTATTCATGAGAGATAGAGAGAGAGGCAGAGGGAGAAGCAGGCTCCCTGCAGAGCGGGGAGCCCGATGAGGGACTCGATCCCAGGACCCCGGGATCATGACCTGAGCTGAAGGCAGACGCTTAACCAACTGAGCCACCCAGGCGTCCCTATTTCATATAATTTTACTGTCATTATTACTCAGTTCTTGTACAACTATGCTTTCAAAAAGTGATAAAACTCAACCACAGAGAATATACTATATTTAACTCTAATCTGTAGTTTTATTTCATTAGATACAGTTATATATTTACTATAATTGTTGTATATAATAAAATGAATCTAGAAGGTATTAACTTACTGTCCAAAGAAAAACTATCCTATGCTTACAAGTACAGACCTATTTTAATTCTGAACTCCAATACCAGACAAATAAATGTCTTGGAAACTCACTCATTTGAGGTTGTCTAATAAAGTATTACATTCTTTTCATTTCAATGAAAGACAGAGAACCTCATTATTTCATGTATTTTTGGCTACCCTAAACCATAACTATTTCTTTCTCACCACCCCCAATATGAATACAAGTTTTATAGATCTAATTACTCATGTATGAGTATGAACTCTTTAGTAGTATTATATATTTAAAGTTCTACTAAATGTAAATGTAAAATTCACATCCTTCTTAAATCAAAACCTAAGATTTTTTTATTTGACAAACGACCACCTATGTTTAGACAGCTGAAATAGAATTGTTCCAACTCCTCTTTTCAAAGTATTACTTGTTATGGCAAATCACAAACCTGCAACGGGTATTACTTGAATACACACAGGAATTTCCCACTGTTCCTTGTAGTTTGGTCCATGATTATTTAATAATGTAAACAATGATTGACTGGTTAGAGCTATCTGAGGGTGATATCTTGAAACAAGCTTCTCTGCATTTGGATCTTTACTAATATCCTGAAAAACAACATATAACTTGTTACTTCATTATATGTATTGGAAATTTCTTTGATGAAAAGAAGGGAGACATTCAAAAGGGGGACTTTATTTTTTTTAAGATTTTATTTATTTGAGAGAGAGAGAAAACGAGAGAGCATGAGCTGGGGGAGAGGTAGACTCCCTGCAGAACAGGGAGCCCAACGCGGGGCTGGATCCCAGCACCCTGAGATCATGACCCAAGCTGAAGGCAGACTGACTAAGCCACCCAGGCGCCCCAAGAAGGGGACTTTAGAACAGGAAGATCATATGTACTTTATGAGGTACAGCAAATTACTTGGGAAAATCCAAAGTACTTTCTTACTTACATAATGCATAGCTGCAGCTGTTTTTTCTGGTGTCTCAGTGGTAGATATGTTATCTTTTGAGAGCTGCAACTTCACAGGCATTGAGGGAAATACAGTTTTCACATATTTTACACTGCCCTAAGTAAGAAAAAAGGGAATGTCTTATTGCAAATACCACATGTATTTTTCCCCTAAGTATCTTTTCATCATATGAAACTCTTAACTTAAAATTCTCCACTCTACTTTAGAGCCTTCTTAAAGCCATGATTCCCATGATTTTGCTTGACAACCTACATATGTTTTTTTTAAAAACGGTCCAAGACAAGGGTGCCATGCCATTTTCTTTACCACTTTACATTCTAACCTCTCATTTTATGAGGTACACATATAACAGAAACTCTAAAATATCCTCTCTACACACACTTACTTCCAATGATTGTGAGTACAATCATTTAAAAGAAAAAAGGTTCTCTGCTTGTATTTTGGAACATTAAGAAAGATGAGAAATGAAGAAAAGAAAACCAAGAAATAAAGTTAGTAGTGACATTTAAAAAAAAAATCAAGCATTGGTATCCATAAAATAAAAAAAGACACATTTGCATTGCATATTTTAAAAGTTACATCTCATTACTGTTCAAAACCTAAACATAAATATTGTCTATGTGAAATATAGGTGATGTTTCAGAGAAAAGTAAGTTTATACCTTCATTGGTAAGCCTTACCAATGCGAGAAGAGTTTTTTCTAACTTTAATCCCATCTCTATTCTGAATGGGAAGAATCCCATTAAGCTCGTGACTTCATGAAGAGTATAGAACTCTGGATACTTTTTCACTTGTTCAATACAAGCTCTTAAAATTTGCTAGGAAATAAAAATTAAGAGAAATTCATTTGTATCATAATTCCATAATAATACAACAAAAATAATTTAGTTATATGTGACTATATAATTATTCATTATAAATACTAGCCTTGTTTCATTAATCAAACTTCTAATAATCCAAGCATAATGTATATTCCTTACTTAAGTTAATCTCTTATTTTCATAGTAATTCTTTTTTTAAAGATTTTATTTATTTATTTGAGAGAGAGAGAGAGCACATGAGGGGGGGGAGGGTCAGAGGGAGAAGCAGACTCCCTGCTGAGCAGAGGGAGCCCGATGCGGGACTCGATCCCGGGACTCCAGGACCATGACCTGAGCCGAAGGCAGTCGCTTAACCAACTGAGCCACCCAGGCGCCCCGGAAATTTGTAGATTAAAAGTGACCATTTTATCAAATAAAAGAAAAAATTTCCAACATACATAACCCATAAAATTTGTATATTTCAAATATACAAAGAACTCCCACATATCAACAACAAAAAATCCAGTAGAATATAGGGCAAAACTTGAACAGCTGATTCATAAGAAATAACCAATCAGCATATGAAAAGATGCAAAGTCTTATTACATATATAATACCATATCCTCTAGATTGGCTAAAACTGAAATGACCATCATGAACGTATTAACTTGAGGATATGGACCAACAAAACTCTCAAAGGTAGACTGTAAAGTGGCATAACCCTTTGGGAAACAGTTAGACATTATTTACTAAAGTTAAAGATATGTGTATACTCTATGACTCAACAATTCCATTCCTGGGTATATACCCAGTAGAAATGTGTGCACATGTGCACCAAGAGACATGTATGAGAATTTTCATAGGAACACTGCTTAGAATAGCTCCAAACAGGAAACAACTCAAACTGTGATCAATAGAATTGTAGTTTATTTATGTAATGTAATAATGGACAGAAAAGAAAATGAATGAACTACAACTACACACATACATGCAGATGAATCTCACCCAAACATAATGAGTGAAGGAAGAATTCTGTTCACATAAAACTCAAAAACAGGCAAAAGTGAGCTCGAAGAATTACCAAAAAAAGTGCATGAAAATTATCAACACCAAACTGTGACAGTTTGTTACTTCTTCAAGAAGGGAGAATGTTATTATTAGGAGGGATATAGAGGGAGCTTCTGGGTTACTGGTAATGTTTTATTTCTTGACTTGTAAGAGACTTACATAGGTGTTCACTATATAATTATTTGTTAAGCTGTATATATTTGTTCTATATACTTCTCTGTAAGTATACTGCACTTCATAATATAAAATTAAAATTTTAAAACACTAAAAAATCAGAAAAATATCAGTGAACCTTTAGGGTGGAGAGGTAAAATGTAAATCAGACAAAATATATTGCCAAGTCAATGTGACTAAAAAACAAGACTTAATGCTGATTAGCTATCACACTCCCTATCAAATAATGTACTTTGTTAATAAACACTTTTATATTCACTAAATAATTATAATGAGCACTTAAGAATTTAATGTTTGTCTGGCATTACTTAGTCATTGGGAGCACAGCAGTGCACAAAAAAGCATTTATGGGGGCACCTGGGTGGCTCAGTCGTTGGGTGTCTGCCTTCAGCTCAGGTCATGATCCCGGGGTCCTGGGATCAAGGCCCGCATCGGGCTCCCTGCTCTGCGGGAGGCCTGCTTCTCCCTCTCCC